GTAAGATTAGTGCTATTGTCCTATAGTTGCTGCAGTCTTTTGTATCTCGAGCATTTCCAGTCTGTTGGCCACTGCTTTGTCTTCCATATTTGTTGGTATATTTCAGTTAGCACTAAAGTTGCATCTGCCTGTAGCAGTTCAAATTGGGATATCATCTGTTCCCGGTGATGTATTTTTCCTATTTCCTTTATTGCAGATTCTACTTCACTTCTTAGAATTAGGGGTTCATCTTCATATGGCTCCTCATTCCAAATATCATTCATTCCCTCATCTCTTTTGTATAACTCTTCTGTGTATTGCTTCCAGTGTCTTTTTATTTCTTCTTGTTCCTGTATTATGTTATTTTTTTCTCCAAAGAGCATTGTACTGTTTTAACTGAGATTGATCCTATAGTGGTTTAATTTTAAAAAGCATGAGGAAACTTAATCGAAGTCCACAGAATGTTCTTCAAGAGTTAGTATACTTTTCTTTGCACCTCATTATGTACAAGGGTGGTTTATACATATATGTATGAAAAACTGTTGAAAGAAGATATCTGTTAATAGGAGCATGTTTGCTGAGCATACCAAAGGCATGCCATTAATTTCAGCTGTTAAATGACAAGGAACCCATTAGAAGAAATTAAGAAAGGATTTCCTGTCAAGCAGACACTAAAATCTCATTTTAGAAAACAAGTGGCTTGCGAAAGAGATATGGCTGTTCAAAGGATAAATGCCGTGTGCTCTTGGGTCCTTCAAAGGTTTATTTGACTGAAGGGTAACAGATCTCTCTCCCTCTCTTCAACTGGGTCCCAAAAGGTCCATTTTTTCAAAACACACTTGAAACTGAGCTCGAGCTGGAGACAAATATGAGTTTCCTTTGCCAACAATTTCCAGCACAGACTGCACGCAAAATGTTCATTTAAACCGTGTAAATGACAGGCAAGGAGTCAGAGGGGAGCTCCATTTGAGAGGCCAATTTTCAGCATGTGTTTTAGTAAGCACTCTTCACAGTAGCCTCAGGCTGCTTTCTTTCAGCGTGTCAATATGAAGCAGACTGACCTAAAGTCATGGTGTGTCTACTGGGAAGTGAAACAAAAATGCATGGTCATTACAATTCTGTGGGGCTAGGTCAACGACCGAAAACAATGGTTTCAAATGTTCCTGCCTTTTAGGAACCCTTTCCACATCACAATGAAACAAATCACATGTTGGTAGAGCATCTGGGGGCAATGTTCTAGAGGGCCCTGTTAGTTCCTACAGGACACTTATCTTGAGTGACATCTTTAGTCTAAGCATTGACACACAGCATCTCTGTGCAGTTTTTGAGGCCCCAACACTTCAGTAGGGGTCACCATTGACACCACTGACATCTGCCCTGCTGCCATTTGTCCACCTTAATTTTCAGCTGGATTTGGGAGCCAGCTGCCATTTTAATTTACCACAGTGTTCCCAGTACATTGATCACTTGTGGAAATTAAAAGAGTATTTGGCACCTAATTCCAATTCCAATTCCACTCAGTTCCAACCAGACTTCCACCAGTGAAGTCCACAGATGGGTTCATTGCTGGGGCTCATTAGAAGGCATTTTGCTGAAGGCTTCCTCAAATCTCACATCACTGCCATCCTATTCCAGTAACATGATATACAGCAGAGGTTCTTGACATTTGGCTATCCAGATGTTTGGTCTTCAAGTCCCAGAAATCCTAACTAGCATAGCCAATGGTCATGGATTCAAGTCCAAAACATCAGAGGGCCAGAGTTTTTAGAACCACTTGTCTAGAAAGGAAAAAAGGGAGGCCAATTTCCATGTGACTGAGCACTATAAGCAAAGATTGGTAATGCTGGACAAGTTGTCTTTTGGAAAATATATTTGATATTACTGAATTTCCCTTGAGTTTCCACTAAAAAGAACTGAAGAACCTCCATCTTTTCCTGGAAAAGTTTCAAAACTGCTGAAGAAAAGGAAGCATCTGACAGAGTATAATCATTCTGTAAGAATCCTTGACTCAGCATCCAGCTTAACCTATGATTTTTAGGGGTAACAATGACATGTATTGTATTAGCATTGCCACTTTATTCTAACCTGAAGCCTTCAGATATTTTTGTGTCAAAGAGAAACAATGTTGATGGAATCTTGTCTTTTTGCAGAACATATTTAGCTTGTGCCATGTCTCTACCTGGAGATTTCTTGTTTCAGTTTAACAACACAGGATGACTCCTATTGTATGCAAGTATGCTATTATTGGCACAGGAAATACAAACAGTGGGGAAATGATCTCTGTATCATGTTTCTCTTCATACGTAGAATATATATGTAGAAAACATAAGATGGACTAGAACCAGATGTGAAGGAGCTTCCCTGCTCATGGGAACAGAGTCCATGCCTTCTGGGTGCAACCAACCAACATGGAATGGTTGGGGAGTTGTGACACATTAAACTGTTAACCTTTTAATGTGCCACAGGACTCTTTGTTGTTTCAACATAATAGCTGTTAGCTTAGCTTAATTATATCCATTTTCTCTTTTCTTTGGGGAAGTTTCAGTTCATGATTGTCTTCTGGCTATGTCTTTGTGTTACCCGGAAATTATCAGTTTTTTAATGTTTTTATGATAACCTGAAACCAGAAAGCCATGATTTCACTCCTTCAATATACTTGGTCATTCTTTCCCACCCACATCTTGATTCCCATCACCTTTCTTCACCCCACCATGAAACTTTCCTTCCAGATAATAATCTGTGATTTTGCCTTTATGGCTACATATATTGCCTCATGTTAAAAGCTGACTAAAAAATTAAGATTGGCTTTACTCAACCTGGCCACTTGCCTATAAGCTAAAGCTTGTTGAGCTCATGCCCATTGGCCAAAGTCCCGATAAGTCCGCATGGATTTCCAATTCTGATTCAGCAGTTTTCCACTTATGATTGTTCCATGGGAATAATTCCAGAGCATTTGCTTAGATTTTGAATGTCATGTTGGAGCTGTTTTTGGCTTCTGGGCAAACGCATGAACTCCCAAATCAGTTCCATTATCTTTGAAGGTCTCAGATCTGGCTTGGAGAATAATGCATGCAATTTCAGGATCTCCAAAATGGTGTATAATAGAATTGTGAGTAACTTAAGAAATCATTTTGTATTTGCTTGCTTGCCATTAGTATTGGCGAGAATTTTCAGGAATTTCAAGGTCTGAAAACAAGGTTCTTAAGTCTCACTGTTAAAATAATCTACAGTATTGATCTGGATTGTTCCTGGGAGCTAAGAAGGATTGTACTAATGAGAAGTGTGTCAATTTTACTCTTCTCCCCCCTTCATAGTTGCTTCCCATGTTTGCTTTTTTTTTAGAGGCATTGTCATTGGGAAGGCTGCATTGTTTTGGTGAAAGAGGGCTGGAAAAACACAAACTTTTGTTGTTGGGTTGCAGAACCATATTTGTAGTAAAAAATGCAATAAAGCTTGAGCAAGGAAAAAATATCTCTGGATGAATTTTGGAAGAAGCCTAGAATCTAGAACAGGGGTAGGCAACCTTTCCCCTTTAAGGGCTGAGGGACTTCAGCTCCCAGAAGCCTCAGCCATGTTGGCCAATAGTCCCATGTTGGCCAATAGCTCCTGGGATTCTGGGTGCTGAAGTCCCTCAGCCCTTAAAGGGGAAAGGTTGCCTACCCCTGATCTAGAAGATTCCAAATGTTTTTTTTTTTATTTAGTCATGCAACACTTACCTGATCTGGTTGTTTCGTTTCACATGACCATATTTTTAGTTGTGATTAAAAAGTGTGCTGAAACATGTTTAAGCTCTTCTTCCTTTTTTGTGGTGTGGCCATCTGACCTTATTCTTTCCATGTTCTTTCTACCTCTAGTATCAAAATTTCTGTTAAAGAAGTAATGCCCAGGAACACATCTCCTTCATTAACTGAGGTATACTTGTATTGTTCTAGTTAATTCTGTTCACTCCTGACTGATAAGACCCAGAAGGTGGTGCTGTGGGACTACTGCTCTTTCCTATGGCCAGTGGTCTATGGGGTTCCACGTGGTTCCATCTTGTCCCCGATGGTATTTAACATCTACATGAAACTGCTCAACTATATCATTTGTGGATTTTGCCAGTGTCTGGATGATACTCTTTCCTCTCTCTCTCTCTCTCTCTCTCTCTCTCTCTCATTTTCTCTCTGTGATTTTTATCAGATTCTACCTGAGGTGGTAGGAGTTATGAACTGCTGTCTGGAATTTGTGAGAGACTAAAAGGACAAAACCAGTTAACATTTAATCCTGTCAACACAGAAGTGCTGTTGGTGTATGAAGTATTTGATGTACAACCTGCCTAGATGGGATTTATAATCTGAGGGATTATTGTTGTTGTGTGCCTTCAGGTTGTTTCCAATTTATGGCAACCCTAAGGCTAATCTGTCACAGGTATTCTTAACAGAATTTGTTCGGCGTGGGTTGCTTTTGCCTTCCTTTGAAGTTCAAAGAGTTTGACTTTCCCAAGGTCACCCAGTGGGTTTCCATGGCTGAGCAGGGATTTGAATCCTGGTCTCCAGAATCATAGTCCAGCATTCAAACCATTGCACCACAATGTCTTTGTGCAAATACAAAAGGCTGTTACAAGGGATTTACTTGTCCATTTCTTCCTACACCTATAATGTTGTTCTTGTGTACATTCAAGTAATTTCCAGCTTATGGAAGGTGAACCTATCATGGGGTGTTCTTGACAAGATTTGTTCAGAGGGTGTTGCTTTTGCCTTTTGTGGCTGAGAGAGAGAGTGTGATTTGCGTAAGCACGCCCAGTAAATTTTCTTTGCTGAGTAGGGATTCAAAGCCTGGTCTCCAGAGTCATAAACTACTATACCACACTGGCTCTAGGGATGAGAATATTTGCATATTTTCTTATCCTTGGAAACAAAGGCTGTCTCAACATACTGAGACACTTCAGTTGTCAAGTGCCATAATATTTTTCTTCTCTGCTTGAGAGCAAAAAGACTATTACCTCTTCATCATTATCAGAAATGTTTTGTACAAAAAGTTTGTTTTTGCACAAATTTGCTTTTGTGCAAAAATGTTTTGAATATTTCACTGAAAAATTCCCCATATGTGAAAAAAGTATGAAAAATGCTCCCAATTTTATAGTGTTACCCAGTTGGATAAATAGATGCAAATAATTTTCAAGTGCTATTTGCTGCTCTGCCTCAGGCTGCAAAGTGTCTTGGACAATCCTGCATGGCATACTACACATGACTGATTATCCATCCCATTATCTGAACTTTTAAATGAGTTTTTATCTGAAATCTATATTCTAGCAAATCAAGCGTAAAAGATGTTATAACCCATATGGGCATTGTAGAATGTGGAGTTTGGTTCCCCTCCCCCCAATCTACATTAACAAAGTATATTATGTATAACTCAGACAAATCAGCAGCGGAGCACCTACAGAAAGAAAGGAAGACACTGAAGATTCAGGACTGATCCACTGAAAACAGTAGTGTGAACTGTGCAAACTCCTTTACATCCAAGTTAGTCCAACAAACCAGCAGACCTTTCTGGAAGTCATGGGACAATAGGATGCTGTGTGTCTGATAAGTACGGAGGCTGTGAAAATCAAGACACAATGACAGTCCTAAAACTACCTTGATGTGAGGTTAGGGAGGGAAGCACAAGCCCTGTTCCTTTTCTTTGCACTTCCCTGCAAGCTATAAATGACTACAGTGAGTGTCACTTCAAAGGAGGGCTGCTGAAAGGCACTTTAGGGACCGGTGGGAATTTGGAGGCAGGCGGGAGCCTCAAATTCAATCCCACCCAGCAGTTTTGCATAAATAAATAAGTCATCACAAAGAGAGGGAGAGCTGAGGAGGTTGCTTTGGAAAGCAGAGCAGGCAGCTCATCCCAGAGAGAGAGAGAGAGAGAGAGAGAAAGAGGGTGTATGTGTGTCATGTTACAGAGCAATCAGGAACAGCCACAGTGCAGCTCCCAATCAGTTGAGAATTACCTCTCTCTAATGGGGAGCTTCAGTACAGTCTTTTGCCTACTCTGCTGAGGAACTAAAAATTTATCCAAAAAAAAAAAAGAAGGGTGGGAGGGAAATCAGCAAAAACAAACGAGGCTGAAGGAAAACTATAGAAGACATACTTTTAAAAAATGCATGCATATTTATGTATGTATTGTATGTAAACCCTTGATCTTGTTTTCCTAGAAACTGTTCTAAAGTTTGATTTTTCTCCCTTTTAGGGGAACCAGGGGAAAAAAAAACAACAACCCTTCCTTCCACCTCAGTTTGTTCCATAGAGGTTCTGTGGTTACCTGCCCTTTTCTTGCTTTCTTTTTTCCTCAGTGGCATTGGGATTTCCCTTGGACAGCAGCATCCTTTTGGTGCATTGTGGATTGTGGTACTGGGAGGAAGATTGCGGCTTTATTTATTTTGTATTTATTTATTTATTGCCTCTGAGGTTGGGGCAGGAATGGTGGTGGTGGTGGAGGAGAAAGGCTGGAAAGAGGCTGCTCCTGGTGCCCTGGAAAGTGGGTGCCTCACACATCCCAGGACAGGCGATGGGGGAAGATGCTGCAAAGGACCTCTCCTGCTGGGCTCTGGGCTGCCTGGAGTCTCTTTCCTTTCTTTGGTGCTGAGCCTCCTGCTCTACTTCAGGACATCAGACCTGCAGTCCAGGGTTTCCCATTTGGAGGCGGACAGAGCCACTCCACTCCCTGCCTGCCTCTCCACAGACCAAATGGAGACAGCTATTTTGGGAAGAGTTGACCAACTGCTTGCGGAGGTCTGTGTGATCTTTCAATTTTACATATGCATACTATAAACCCACTCTTCTTTTTCTACTTTATTTCTCCTTCTTCTTCCTACAAAGCCCTAAAGTTTCTGGGGAACTCTTTAAGCAAATGATATGCTCAGTAGAGAGTATCTGTGTGATTGCCAAAATGCTGTGAAATTCCTCTGATCCTTACTTTCCTCTGGGATTTGGGATTTCACTTCTGTTTGACAGTCTGCGAGTTCTCTGCACCTTCCTTGGCAGCTTTAAATTAGAGCAGCATTTCTTTTCTTTTCTTTTCCTCCCCAGATGCAATAGATGGGCAGGTAGCTTGACAAATACAGGTTGAGTACTTAATCCCTAATCTAGAATTCCAAAACCCAAAATGGTCCCAAATCGAAAATTGCCCACATGGGTGGCTGACACAGTGACACTTTTGCTTTCTGATGGTTTAGTGTACACAAACCTTGTTTCATGCACAAAATTTTTAAAAATGTTGCATGTAAAATTACCTTCAGGCTATGTGTATAAGGTTTATATGAAACATAAATGAACTTCATGTTTAGACTTGGGTCTCATTTCCAAGAAATCTCATTAGGTATATGCAAATATTCAAAAATAAATAAATGAATGAATGAATAAATCCAAAATGCAAAACACTTCTGGTCCCAAGCATTTCAGATTATAGAGATTCAACCTGTAGATGATTTTTATTTTTATTTTTAAAAAGCGCACCAATTTTTATCAATGCATCTTGAATTTGCCTAGATGGCTTTGGTGTGCTCAAGTAATTGTGCATAAGAATATAGGCATGACTGTCAGATCCTTTGCATCTTTACTTAAATGTTTAGCCTACTGGATTCACAGATGAGCTTCCATATAAGTATATGTAAGACAGCAGCCTTACATCTGCTCTTTGGAAGCTTGAGGACTGATATGACAACAAAGCTGAATCGGAAACAGCATGTGTGCATGATCTGAAGAGGATGAAGCTCACGTTACTACCTAGCAATGAGATTGCTGGTATAAGAAATACAATGTTAGCATGTCCCAGATAAATAGGAAAGAAGGCCAGGCAAAGGTTACAGGGCATGTTGATTCTTCTTTGCCTCTTTAAAAAGATTTCAATTCAGGCTCTTTTTTTTCCACAGAAATGATTGGAAGTAGGATGAAGGAAGAAATATCATAGCAAACTCCCCCACGCCCCATTTGCAATTTAGTGGCCAGGCATTGCTAAGCAAGTGCTGCTGAGAACCTCATAGGAGGTGGAAGAATAACAGTGAAATTAGAGATGATCTGTTTACTGACTTTTTGTGGGGAGGTGGGGGAGGAAGACTGTGTAAATGAGTGCAGTTACTAGAAGGTGGCAAAACAACACACAGGGAGAAAGAAGATCTTAAAGCTTAGATATAGACTACTTTTGGCCAATTACATGAAAACTCCCATTGCTCCATGCTATTGTCTCCATCTCTTTATCACCACTCATTGTTTCTGTCAGGTATGACTTGTGGTTACATAGCATCATTTAATTTTATAAATCACATCAAAAATTGAACATTTGAAGTTGCCTTAAGCTTAGCTGGACTGTTGGTTTATCCAGCCCAGTGCACTTTGCTCAAATCAGCTCCTTGGGGTCTAAGGAGCTTATTGCATTGCTAAAATAAAAAAATCTTACATCTCCCAAATTGAATTTTAATTCAGATGGTATCTAGATACTATCACAGGGATTTTGCCACTGAATCCGCCGCCTGGCTCCAGCCCAGGTTCCAGGGGTGCTCAGCGCGCCTCTTTTCAAAACTGGGAGTTTTCTGACTTTAAAAAATGGTCTCCGGAGCACTCCTGGAACCAGGGCTGGATCTAGGCTGGATGCAGGCAGTGGATTCGGTGGCCAAACCCCTGCAATAGTATCCAGATGCTCTCTGAATTAAAATTTTAATTTGGGAGAGGTAAGACATTTTATTTAGCAGTGCGATAAGCTCCTCAGCCAGCCATTTTTCCAAGCCCAGAAACCTGAGATCATTGTAAATGGAAGTGCTAAGGATCTGCTGCATTCACAAGTTTACAGTTGAACCACTGTTGCTTTCTATGCTTTCCATAATTAATATAATATACCAATACGAATATATTTTACTTCTCAACCAGTCTATAACCTCATAGATGGAGTAGTGAGGCATGTAACATATTCAAAGCTTCATAGGAGATAGGAATTGGTGGACTGTATTGGCAAGTAAATAGCTTGCATCTTGTTATCCCTATTATGCAACAAATTTAGTAAATTTAGTAAATTTAGTAAATTTAGTTACATTTAGTAAATGTCAGAATATGAATCCTGACATTTACTAAGGGGTTGTCTGCACAGGCTAAATTACCTGGGTTCTCCCTGGCCTCATGTTGTCTAGTGCAGATGACACAAGTCGAAACCCCTGGGGCAGGACTGGGCCCAATCCTGCCTGTTCGTATGCAGACCCAGAGGATCCCACTTGACCTGGGGTAAAGGTATTCCCTAGTGACAAGATTGTCAAATCGTGTCCGACCATAGGGGGTGGTGCTTATCTCCTTTACTATGCCTAAGAGCCAGCATGTGGATCATGTGGCCAGCATGATTACACAGAATGTTGTTTACTTTCCCACCAAAGTGGTACCTATTTATCTACTTGCATTTGCATGCTTTCAGATTGCTAGGTTGGCAGAAACTAGGGCTAGTGACAGGAGCTCATTCCATCATGCAGCACCTGGGCCTCGAACAGCAATCAACAGAGTCAGCATCTTAACCAACTGAACCACTGCATCCTTTACCACAGGGTAATTTAATCCTGGTTTTCCATAGA